CTCTCTCTCTCTCTCTCTCTCTCTCTCTCTCTCTCTCTCTCTCAAATAAATAAAAATTAAAAAAAAAAAAAAGAAATGAAATGGGCTTCTCACCATAATTGGCTTTCTAACTGAAATAATGGTTCATTCCTTGAATCTTTGTAAGTGAAAGAATTAAGAAATAAATCATCTCATTGAACTCACCCTAATACTACACTGAATAATCAAAAATAGGACCACTTTCAGGCAGAGATCTCAAGAATACACATTTTCCTATGCCCTAGAGAAATAAAAATTACTAGTTTGAAATTTTAAATTGCTTTCAGAATTTTAAGTTATATATTAAATATTATTACATCATAAAGATTTTTTTCCTGAAATTTATCATTTCAAATGATTTTTAGTTTTTAAATTTTATTTTAATACTGCTATAATAAATATAAAATGTTCCCTAGAAATAAATGCTATACTTACTTCACAATAAAAAAAAATTATTCTATTTAGAGAAATGTTTGTCTCCAAAAACTAGATCAGGTATATACACTCAATGGTATCTCAGCTTAATAAAAGAATTAAATCTTAAAATGCCTGCTTCATTTTAGAAAACCAAAAGAGGCCAACAGTACTGGCTATATAAGAATGAATACCTGATACAGAGAAAGTTAGCTCTGTGTTCAATTTTTTTTTTTAAAGGGCAAGTTACATAAAGGGGGAAATACATATCATTCAGAGAAGCATATCATGTCCTCTTTTGTCTTCTACCTTGGAACCAACAGATGCATAGTAGTATAAATCAGTACTCCATAAACAGGTAGCAATTTAAGTGCTTTGGGTTCATTACACCAAAAAGTATGTAATCTGAGATTCAGTATAAGAACAAACTACTACTGGAGCTATAATTACAATAAAGCATTGAAAATAATCAATGAGATGACTCAAGCTGAAAAATACCTAAATAATGGTTGTCATAAAGAGTATTTTGCTACAGACTATATCCTCCAACTACTTGTTTTCTTTCTTCATGCCTGAATGTTTTTAAATGCAGCATTAAAATTCCATGAAGAATGCACAGTTTCAGCACTATAAAATGACTCAAAATAAATAGTTCTCTAAAGTCACTATTCTTATTCTGAGTTTGCCCAATACATAAGAAGAATGTTGGAGTCTCTCAGTCCTTATGGGATATAGAAATTCAAAAAACAGCTCATTAAATTTCCCTAAATATGAGGTTTTCAAAGACTCCACTGCAAATGTAAAGAAAGCCTTAGATACTCTCTTCTCATAAGAGCCTCTCTTTCTGTATTTTCTTCAAAGATTCCTAGTTTTCCAAGTGCAAACAGTCACACTTCTACCTGCAATAAAAAGCAACTGGGAGCCTTGCAAAAATACCAATTATTGAGCCCCATAACCAGGGATACTGATTTAATAGCTTTTGATGGGGTCCAGGCATCAGTACTTTAAAACTCCCCAACTAATTCTAATTTACAAGGACTACCATAACAAAACATTTGTGCCCCTAATAATCACTGGCCTGTGCAAAATCAAATAATAAAATTCATAGGGGCTATAGTGAAATAAAAAAGAAAAGGAAGCTAATAAAAATCTTTGTACCATTTCACATAGTCTCAGTTATTCTTCTCTCATTGCTGGGACAAACACCCAACACCCAAAATGAGGGGAGATGGCTCAGTAGAATAAGCACTTGCCTGGCAAGTGCAAGGGTCTGAGTTCAATCCCCGGTTCCAACACCCAAAATGAAAGAAGGAAACATTTATTTAGCTCACAGTCAATAGAGGTTTCAGTCCATACTCAGCTGTCCCCAAGGCAAAGTGGCACATGGTGACACACAGCAGCCGTTTATGGCAGCAGCAAAGAGCAGGAGCAAACAGAAAAGCAGCAGCTCCTGCAGTTAACTAGCCTCTCTCCCTTCCTTACACTGTAATGCTGAGTATCTGCCCCAGGGCATTCACACCCATAATCCCAGCATTGGATCAAGAATCAATCACAAACTCCAGAAGCCACTCCATGACTGCATGAGGCTTTGCGGGGGAGGACACCTAGACACAAACCATAACACACATACATTAAATGACTATTTCAGTAAACGTGATACTTTGCCTTAAAAAAAACCCAAAGTTTCCTAGTTGCAGTACCACATGTAGCATTAAAAAAAAAAAAAAAAAGGAGTAAACATGCTAGCCAGTAAAAGACTGAAGCTTGTATCTGAAATATATTTTCCTAAACAGTTTGGTTCAGTTGGACAGGTATAGTTTTCTGCATTCATTTCATGTTTACTCCAGTTCCACAAATAAAATGTTTACAAAAAAGCTCAAATTATATCCTAGTACAACATCTGTGTTGAAACTAATTTATGTTTTCTTTCTTCTCCTCCTCCTCCTTCTCCTTCTCCTTCTTCTTCTTCTTCTTCTTTTTTTTTTTTTTTTTTTTTTTTTTTTTTTTTGGGAGAACCGGGAATTGAACTAGGGCCCTTGCGCTTGCCAAGGAAGCACTTATTCCACTGAGCCATCTCCCCAGCCCCTAATTTGTGTTTTCAAATCAACTGTTATACCAGAACTGATGTTAGAGCCAGAAATGGGGAATTTTGACTTCAATATACATGGTATGATCAATATCTACCATGAATGCTTACTTTTTTAAAATTCGTCATGATAAAAGACATATTGCCATTAATCTCCCCCTCTTTGAACATATCTATCCCATCATTTTGCCACTTTCTGAAGCAGTTCTGAGGGTCTTTTCTCATGATCATCTTTAGTTGCACTTTGTAGCTGCCTTGATGACCTGGAATCAATTCAAAACGTTTACCTTCCATGATCATTTTGACTTTGGAGAAGAGCCAGAGTTACACAGTACGAGATCTGATGAATAACATGGATGTAGACACAGTAATGTCTTTTATCTGATGGACACTGCTGTACCAGAAGCAATTTGTGACACAGAGTATTATCATGATAGCAGATGAAACCACTTGGCCATTTGTTGGCCATTTTCTAGACACATCATTTCTTAAATGCTCTGAAAAACCCTTACAATATTCAGAACTCACGATACTATTACTGAGTACAAACTCAGCTGACATAACTTCACCAAAAATTCAGTATCACTGTGATCTTGGATCTTGATAGATGTGTTTTTGTTCACACATGCAAAACTGGATTAATTTCCACTGAGAATTCTAAATCTTGGTCTCAGTATCATAACCATCAACCCAAGCTTTATCTCTCATGATGACATTCCTTAAAAATATGGACACTGAAGAGATATGATCTCAGAATTCCAATTAATTTGACAAAATTTCACATTAATGTGTTGTTTGTAACTCATGATTCATAGCACATTTTAAAACACACCTTTTCTCAACCACAGGTCACAACCAAATGACCTCACCAAACAAGTTGAAACCAGTCACACATATTTACTCCAGTTCCACATCCCGCTGCTTGTATTAAATATTCCTGCCTTCCATCAAGAGCTCTAGAAAGCTGTATTCATTGTACTTTTTATCACAGCATAGTATGTACAAGGAGAAACTTTAGTATCGCAGGCTCAATTCAAGACATAATTATGTTAGTACCAAATAATAAATCTGATTTGCTAAAAACACTTTGCAATACTTTTAATTCTCATATCATATCTGGAGTATTGCCAATATTACATCCTCTTTGTGTTTAAAATGCAAACCAATAGCCCTTTTAAATATTGTGTGAGTTGAGGATTAACTGTGTTATCAAACTATTTCAAAACAGACTTAACTGTATTTGCACAGGTATAATTTTAGACAGAACACAAAGGAGGCTACATAACAAAACTGCATGCATAATTGTATTTTGACATAGAAATCCATGAACTTACCTGAAAATACATATGACAATCAAAAATACATCCCTACAGTGCTCCTTTTATTGCAGTGTTACTTATAATTGCAAAATACTGTAGCCCTAAGAATCTATACATAGTACATTGTTTGGATACTCAAAACATTTTTCCATTCAAAGAACCAGGACTCCAAGGAAAAAGAATTGATTCTAAGACGACAGAAAGAAACATTCAAGAAGAGCCAAAAACACTTATTATGCCAAAAAGTTTAGAAGTTTTCAGAGAATAACAGAAAAACAGAGTTTAGGAGGTTGACAGCAGAGTCAGCTACCTAGTTCTCCACTTCCCAATATTTCCTCCCACCCTCAACATCTGCATTTCTGGTTTTTAGGTTTTTGTACTATGGGACTTGCATCAACAACTTCTCAGGTTCCCAGGCCTTTGGCCTCAGACTAAGGCACAACATCAGTTCCCTTACAAACACAGACTGAACTGCATCACGAGCTTTCCTGATTCTCCAACTTGTTGGTAGTCATGACTTCCATGATAAGTCCTGTAAGCTATGCCCTGTATATATATACATACATATGTATACAGATACATACTATATGTGTGTGTGTGTGTGTGTGATCTACTGTTCTGTTTGTCTGAAAAATCATGATTAACTTTAAAATAAAAGACAAACACTGCTATCAAACACCTCGTCTTTACTGTCATCTACAGAACACTCCAAACATCAAAAAATACATATAACTTATCAAGTGCACATGAAAGATGTACCAAGAAAAAGCATATTCTGGGATATAGAGGAAATATTCAGAGATTTAAAAGCATTATTTATACAAAACAGGCTCTTGGTAAATAGTGGTACTAGATTCACAATCAATAACACATACATAGAAAAATATTTATAAATTGACAAGACTTTGAAAGAACATATGAATCCAAAAATAATCAAAAGAGAAACTAAAATGCATTCTGAAAACAAATAAGCACAGAATAATGTCAAAGACATAGCTAAAACTGTACTCACAAAAGTTAGAACTCTAAACTCACTTGGGCATGCTCATTCAATAGTATGATCTATTTTAAAGACAGTCATGATTTTATACATAAGAAATTATTAAATTAATGCTTCTTACCTTGGATACATTGCTGACATAATTCATTTGGAGAGTACTTTCCTTATCAACTTGATTACAAAGGTTCTGTAAAGTAGATGCATATTCTTTATCACTTTTTATTCTCAGAGTCATGAATTTCTTCACTGTTTCTAATAATCGTAATTCCCAGTCTTGCAATTTTAACACAGCTTCATGTGAATTCTTCAGGTCATTCCCAAACCCCATTTCTGCAAGGCACTGCTTATCCTCCACACTGCACAAGTGAGCCTTCTAATCAGCACATATCTGTGTATAAAAACAAAAGAAAAAGTCTTCAATAAAAACAAAAATATCAGTCTACAAAGCAAAGTTATGCTCCACTCTTTTGAGAGTTAAAAAAATTATAATTGCCACTACTGAATAGTTTCTCCCAAAGGAAAGGATCCCCATCCACAAACGTGTGTGTGTGTGTGTGTGTGTGTGTGTGTCTGTTTGAGACAGAGTCTCACTATGCAGTTCAAGCTGGTCTTTTTTTTTTTTGAATGGGGAATTCACTCAGGCCCTTGCACTTGCCAGGCAAGCACTTATTCTACTGAGCTTATCCTCCCAGCCCCAGGCTGGTCTTGAGCTCCCTTTGTAGCCCATGCTGGTCTCCAGTTTGCAATGATCTTCCTGCCTCAGCCTCCCAAGTGCTGGGATTACAGGCATGTACCACCACACCTGGCAAAGACATCGTCTTTTTGATTTGTATTCAATGTATACTAGATGTTCTAGACATTACAATAACATAAATACAAGATATGTGGATTAAAAAGGAAGAAGCAAAGCAATTTATATAGATGACATCATCTTGGATATAGAAAATCCTAAGGATGCAATAAAAATTTTTAAAATAATTTAGTCATATTACAAAATATAAAATGAATATACAAAATTGAATTATACTTACAAGCACACCAACCTAAAAGTTAAAACAAAAAACAATTCTACTTACAACAACATCATAAAAGAACAAAACACAGAAATAAACTGAAGAAAACGCAAAATTTGTACTCTTTATAACATACGGTAGAATTTTTTGAATGTAAATAAACTGAAAGACTCTTCTTGTTCAAAGACAGAAAACAGTTACGCCATTAAGACAGCAGTAGCCCTCAATCTGATCTACACATTTGACTTAATCCGTATTATCATCTTGGTTAGCTCTTATACAGAAATTAAAAAGTGAATTCTAAAATATATAAGGCAGGGGAGCCAAAACAATGACAAAAAATTTTGAAGCTAGGAGCAATGGTGCATGCCTGTTATCCCAGCACTCTGGCAGACAGAGGTAGGAAAATCACAAGTTCCAGTCCAATCCAAGCACAAGACCTCGTTGCAAAATAAAAACTAAAAAAGGACTGAGATGTAACTCAGTACAAAGGCCCTGCATTAAATCCCACATACCAATCAACCCCAAGAAAATTTTTGAAAGAACAAAGTTGTAGAACATATACTTTCTGCTTTCAAAAACTAAAAAGTAATAGCAATGAAGACAGTATGATAGAAGCATATAGAAAAGCGCAGAGGTCAATAGAGTCTATAACAAAGGGCCGACACATCTTTATATATATATATTAAGGTAAAGTGATTTTTTTTCAAACATGCCTCATCTACTCAATGGGAAAAGGAAGGCTCCTCAGCAAATACATGGCTCTGGGACAACTGGAGTTCCACACACAAAGGAAGCAGAATACCTTCTTTAGAACATACAAAAAAGTTAACTCTACATAGGTCATTGATCTAAAACTACAAAATTAAAACTATAAAGTACTCAGAAAAAACACAGAAGTAAGGTTTATAACCTTGACTTAAGCAATGGTTTCTTAAGAACAAGAACAGAAGTGCAAGCGACAAATATATACAAACTGAATTTCATCAAAATTTAAAATGTCTGTTTCAAATGACATTAAAAATGTGAAAGCTCTCAGTTCCCATACTCTGGTGTGAGTGGAACTACAGGCACATAGGCTGAGACGCTATGGACCCGCCCCTGAGCATCCAAGGCAGTGAACTCTTCAAGTCTGCAATAAAAAACAGTCTCCAATAAAACTACATTGCAAAAAATGGAAATTAAACAAAATGGAAAAAGCAAAAAAGTTGAGGAAGCAGAATCTGAAGAATCTGTGGTAGAAAAAGTACTGGACCAACATGTAGTGAATGGGAAGGTGGAGTATTTCCTGAAGTGGAAGGGATTTATAGATGCTGACAATACATGGGAACGTGAAGAAAATTTAGATTGCCCAGAGTTAATTGAAGCATTTCTTAATTCTCAAAACGCTGATAAAGACAGTACAAAAAGAAAATCTTTATCTGACAGTGAATCTGATTACAGCAAATTAAAGAAGAAAAAAAAAAAGAGATGCTACTGACAAACCTAGAGGCTTACCAGAGGTCTTGCTCCTGAATGAATAATTGGTGCCACAGATAGTAGTAGGGAACTGATGTTTCTCATGAAATGGAAAGATTCACCTGAGGCTGACTGGTGCTGGCAAAAGGGGCAAATATGAAATGTCCTCAATCTTAATTGCTTTTTATGAAGAGAGACTAACTTGGCATTCTTATCTAGAAGAAGAAGCTCAATAACGTACATCATTTATATACATATGTAATAAGATATAAACTTTAGATATGTATATATAAATTTATATATATATATATATATATAACATATAGATCTTGATTTTGTCTCACTACTGTGTTTTAAAAAAGCATTTTAATGAAAATCAAGTTTAATATGTAAGTTTTGAAAGTAGTATTTGGAGGAGTTGTTGAGTTTTGTTTATTTTGCATCAATAGCACTGGTTACTTTCAACAAATAAAAGTTTTTGTAGTTGCTTCCTTTATCAGAAAAGAGCATTTGATAGCGTGATACATTTCCTCTGCTTTTCTAAATGTTGGAGGGAATTGTCCATAGTCCAAAATGGAATTCATGTTTTAGCTCATATACTTAAGGGCCATTCTAAGTTTTTTGTTTGAGTGTGTATAAGTAAAATACTTATGTAAGTAGTTTTTGTTTTGTTCTTAAACATTCACCAAAACAAAAGCTATGGGTGATGAACTCATGTTTGAGACATCATCATTCTGAGCAACCCACAAAATAAATCATTTCCAGTTAAACAGAAAGTTTTCCTGAAGCCATAACCCTTTAATTTAAATAGACGGTTTTATGGGTAATTGAACAGTCTAAAGTAGCTATTTTCAGGGGCTGGGGAGTTGAGTAAGCTCTTGCCTGGTAAGCGCAAGGGCCTGACTTCAATCCCCAGCCCCACAAAATAAATGAATAAATAAATAAAGCAGAGTGCCCCCCCAACCCCGCACGCAGAGTAGGATTTTCTGCCGAGTTCCGGGAGCCCCCAGACCCAGTCCTAGCCCAGGTCCGGTGAGTGTGCAGAGAGCATCCTGCTACCCTGCGCCGGCAGGATCAGACCCAGCCCAGGCGCAGAGTGGGCCGGACGCTCTCGACCCCCTCGGGCCACCCCACACCACTCCACCATACGTCCCACACCCGTCCCGCCAAGTAGGAATTTTTGCCCCGTCCAGGAGGCCCCAGACCCAATCCTAGCCCAGGTCCCGTGAGTGTGTGCAGAGAGCTTCCTCTTCCTCCTACTTCACCTTGCCCACTCCAGGCACACCTCAGGACTGGCATACATGCCTCAGGTGTGATCC